TGTACCGCGACACCGAGGCGCTGCGCGAACTGGGGGTCACCCACTACCGCTTCTCCATCTCCTGGGCGCGGGTCCTCCCCAACGGCCGCGCGGGCGCCCCCAACCGGGAGGGCCTGCGCTACTACCGGCGCCTGCTGGGGCGGCTGCGGGAGCTGGGCGTGCAGCCCGTGGTCACTCTGTACCACTGGGACCTGCCCCAGCGCCTGCAGGACGCCCATGGCGGCTGGGCCAGCCGCGCTCTGGCCGACCTCTTCAGGGACTACGCGGAGCTCTGCTTTCGCCACTTCGGCGGGCAGGTCAAGCACTGGATCACCATCGACAACCCCTACGCGGTGGCCTGGCACGGCTACGCCACCGGGCGCCTGGCCCCCGGAGTCCGGGGCGGCGCGCGCCTGGGGTACCTGGTGGCGCACAACCTGCTGCTGGTGAGTGCTCGCGGCTCGACCAGGCGCCCCAGGCTCCCCTGCGCGAGGCTCCCTGGCACGCGTCGGACAGGTCCCCCCCACTGCCCACCGTCCCCGCTGGAGCCCTACCCGGGGTGGGGCGGAGGAGCTCAGTGGGTAGCCTTCCCGTGGCAGGGGCGGTTTGGGCGGGGGAAACCCTGCCGCGGGCGCACGAGCGAGTTCCCCGCGGAGCCAGTGAGAAACGAACTGGCCTGGGGGTGGGAGGCAGACAAAAGGACTCCGCTCCGTGGAGTGAGGGTCTCCAGGCTGTGTGGAGGGGAGCGCGGGCAGACAGCGAGGAAGGCGGTGGAGGACCGGACCCACCAGGTCAATTAGGAGTGCCTTGTGGCTCCTCTCCAGAGGCGCCAGTTTACAGGCCATCAGATAGGCAAGCTGTGACCCCAGGCGATGAAGTTCTCTGACTGTACCCTCCCTTCACGTGTCTTTCCAAGAGTGACTGGGGAAAAAGTGAGGCTGGGAAAAGAACCGTCCCTGCTGGAGAGCCTCCGGGGCTTTGGAAAGGGTCTGGGGAAAGTTCTCGGGGTGCGCACCCCCAGCGCGCCGGGCTCTCCTGAGGGCAGCGGGCAAAGACAGCGAGGTCCATTGTGAGCTTCCTAGCCATCTCTGAGCCCACAGCGCACACTTGGGCTCTCAGACTTCCCGTTCCCGCGGGGTCGCAAAGCCTGACCACACCACCTTTCTGAACAGCAGGAAAGAGGGGTGGGCCATGATAAAGTGGCCCCCAAAGAATCCTTGCTCTTTTCTTCTTTTTGCTTTGCGTCCAAATGAGGTCTCCGTTAGCTCGTGGGCAGGAGGCTGGGCTGCTAACCTCAGGGTCAACAGTTCCTATCTACCAGTTGCTCCCGGAGAAAGATGAGACTGTCACTCCCATAAAGAATTACCGTCTCTGGCACCCACAAGGGCAGCTACATTGTGTCCTGCGGGGTCACACTCAGTCAGAACAGATTCTGTGGCTGACAGCCGGTTTTTGGGGAAGGGAGTTCATTTATCATGATGGTGGTGGTTGGCTTCTATAGAGTTTTTGTGCCAAGATAAAAGAGTTGATAGGCCCATGGCACCTTTTCGTTAGAATGTTTACATGTACAACTCTCCTTGACTGTGGTCTGGTGAGTTGTGGGCCCACCGAGAGACCTGGTTTTGAAAGAAACTTCAAGTCAAGTCACACAACCGGAGGGCATTCCAGAGGAAGTCTAACCTACAGGTGAGGGCAGTCTAACCTACAGGTGAGGGCAGAGAGAGGAAGGCAAGTCTTGCTGCCCGAGCCCTTTGGTGCAGGCACACTCTGGGAAGTGCTGCTGCTCAAGTGGTGGGTGATAGTGACTGAGTCAGGTGATGCACCAGCTCCCCAGAGCCTCTAGTCCCCCACCCTCCAGAGCACCCTGTTGGGCACCTCAGACACAGGGTGATTTCCATGACTTTAGGCAGATACCTGCTTTTGTCTGGGGGTCTCGTAGAGCCATGCTTATAAACATTTATTTTTGGCCTGTGAATCTTTTCAAGGATCAACCCAAACTCAAACTTCCCCACAGTAAGTTGAGTCTAACTCATGGTGACCCTATAGGACAGGACAGAGCTGCTCCGTGGGGCTCCTGAGATGGTCCGGGTTACAATCTGCCCACAGGGAGCCCTGGAGTAGCAACCACTAGACCAGCAGTTCGAACCCACCAGCTACTCTGAAGGAGAAAGATGAGACTTTCCACTCCCATGAAGATGTACAGTCCAGAAACCCACAGGGGCAGATCTGTTCTGTTCTGTGCGGTCACTACAAGTCAGAAACCACACCAGGGCAGGGGATGTGAAGCCAAGGAGTATGTGAATAAGAGGAGTCCCTTGTTTTTCTAGTGACTTCTCCGACCATCCCATGCATCCGGTAAGGCATTTGGGCTGCACGCACTAGCTGGTACTGTGATATTTCACTCATCAACAAGCCTGCTTTTCAGTTGTCTTTTACCTGACCCCCTGCCCCCGCCAGCATTGCCAAACTAACCCTCCTTCCCAGAAATACTGTGGACTTTGTGCCCCTAAGGAATGAGTAACAGGTGGGCGCAGGGGTTTTTCTTTGCTGATGCTGCAAACAAGATGCTAGTTGCTGTAAAATATTAATTTTGCTTTCAAATGCCTTTGGGTTTGGAACTCAGGCTCCCTTGTTTTCCACAAAGGGGTCACTTGCCATTCTCAAAGACGATCGGTTCGGTTGGGGGAGAGATTTCTTCTTGTCTACACGATTCTTTCTGGGTGCGAGGAGGCGGTTGTGTGTGGAGTTAGGGGTGTTTTGTGCTGATTTGAAAAGATTAAAAAAAAACCACATCCTGTGACGTTTGGCTGTAAGACGTCTCAGCCAGGTAGTGCCAAGGGGTTTTGCTGCCGGGCCGCCATTCTCAGCTTCTAGCACATTCCTTCACATTTAGGGGTGCCATGCTGGCGAGGGGGGAGCTGGCCAGCACTCCTTTCTGTGATTTACGTAATTTACAATCGAGCCAAGGAGGCCATGGGTGGGTGGGGGGGGAAACACGGTATGCCTGGACCTCCTGACAGTCAAGGACATGTGAAATAATGCCTGACCTGGAGGGAAAGGCCGGGGAGCGGGTGGTGGTGGGAGGTGGAAAACCAAGGGCCCTGTTTGGAAAGGGGTGGTCTCAGTATTCTTTTGTGGGTTCCTAGACCTGGGGTGAACCTGACCCTTCTCTCTCTCTTGCTCACCCTCCACACACATACTCCCTCTCACATAGACATTCTCTCACATTCACACACACACACACACACTCACATGTGTACACTCACAATTCTCACATACATACACTTTCATACACACCTACACAACACTCACACACCTTCGCACAGACTCTGACATGCACATATACACATAGTTTGCACACACATCACAATCGTCTCACACTCACATACACACTTTCATACACATTTTCACACACACACACACACACACACACATTGTCTCTCATGTATACATTCTCCCAGTCACACATTGTGTTAGTCCAGGTAGACTAGAGAAACACATTCATAGAGACACTCATATGGGTATAAGAAAGAGCTTTCTATAAAGAGCAACCACACATTAAGAAAACATCCCAGCCTAGTCCAGATCAAGCCCATAAATCTGATATTAGTCCATATGTCCAATGTCAATCAATAAAGTGCTCTTCAGACTCACGAAGCACATGCAATGATGAATGCAGGAAGATCACAGGCCAGTGGTACAAAGTCTTGTGGATCCAGTGGTGGTAGAAGCATCTCAGCACTGGCAGGGGTCTCCACATGGCTCCTCCAGTTCCCAGGGCACGGGGTCTATCAGCATAGTGCCATGTGTCTTGTTAGTAGAGAGTCTCCAAGGGAGTGAGCAGAGAGAGACAGTGTGACTCTCCTGCCTCCAAGGAGGAAAAACAGGAGTTCCCAGAATCCTCAGGAGAAGGCCATGCCCACACAGAGGCCTCATTGGCTATAACCTGATTGAAGGCTATAGACTCCACCCCTTCACTCTTAATCCTCTCAAGTCCCAAATTGACACTCCATTATATAACTACCACACACACACACACACACACACTGTCTCATACACACTCACTTTTATACACACACAGTTCCTTGTTCTGGAAACATCCTCACTGGTGTGTGTAACATATTGGGCTTCTGTGTTGACCATGGCCTCTTTCACTCTCTGGCCAAACCAAAGCGCTTACTGTTGAAACTTGGGGTCCTTATTTCCGTCTTTTAAGGAATGGTCTCTGCTGTGGAGAGGACGCAGCAGAACACACAACCATTCTGCTGTCTAGACAGGGACCATTCTGTGATGCTGATGATGTTCTTCCAGGCATCCATCCAACAACTGTCCCCTCTTTTCCAGGTTGTTCCCCTGGAACATAAGCTGCCCCGCAGCCCCCTAGAGGAGCTTTGGCACTTCTTCCGTCAGCTTGCCCCTCAGAGACCTTGGGAGAGAATCTGCTCCGGGCAGACAAGCTTTCTTTACCCATCAAGTGAGACAGCTGATGGGCTCAAAGGAAACTTGGGGGGCTGTTTGGGTTCCAAGTTGAAAGATGGTCTCAGATCCATCAATCCAGGGAGGCTTCACCCAGCACCCAGGGCTCCAGGAGGTCCAGGTTTGGTGAGATTCTGAAACTCTGTTCTGCATTTTCTCCAGTTGATCTGGATTCTTCTACAGAGTCTTGGATCAGAAAGTCCGGTCATGGTAGCTGAACACCATCCAGTCTCCTGGTCTCAAGGCAAAGGAGGCAGTTGTTCCTGGAAACCATGAGCCCCACGGTCCATCTCTTCCTACTGCCCCCGACTCTCCTGCTGCTGCTGCTGCTCCAGGCAAAGAGAGCACACTTGTGCCTTGGGTGGATGTTTGCCAGCTTTTAAGACCCCAGGCCCTTACACAACCTGCCTGGAGGCAGAACTGAAGCACTAAACCTAATATTAGGCTGTTGCATGAACCCATGACCCTAAGCCTCCAGACCCAGGAAATGATCCCATGAGGTGTTCCTGCAGCAGCTGTTCGCTCTGTCTCTCCTTCTGGTTGTTGTAAATATATCTATCACACATCCTTGGGGTGTGGTGGGGGGGCCTTATCCCTATCTGCTCTCTGCCTGCAATGTGCTCCCCTCCCACCTTACCCCCAAGTCCACAGAACCGGCTCCCCACCTCCTTTAAGTCTTTGCCTCAATGCAGCAAACCTGGGTGGCCCCACTTACAGCTGCCTGCTGCTCGGAGGGGTTGACACCAGGTCTGGAGGACATCTTAGGGCCATAGTCTTAGGAGATTCCACCACTCTCTACAAGACCAGTAAATCTTTTGTCCAGGCTTTTTCTCCACTCCGTCCGGGACCTTCTGTGGTCCTGAAACGCATCTCAGTCACGGGAGTCGGGCACCATCTAGTTTCTCTGGTCTCAGGGGGTGGAGGATGTGGTTTGATGGCCCGTTACATCCTTTGGATGAAATGACTCCTT